AAAACTACCTATAAATTATACACTATTAAATGTGGATAAATTGGAGAAGAAAGATAATTAGGCAGTAAGCTTCTGTTTGAGGAGTTTGAGGTAAAAGAAAAAAAAATCCCTTTTTCTAAAAAGCAGAAAAATATAACATTGCAGGCATGTAAATAGTGTGTGTATATATACGTCTACATCTATTAAAGTGGTGTGATATCTTTCATCTATAATCAGATCATCTGATTAGAATAGCATTATCAAAAGGTGGTAAAGGTGTATCAGCACACCTAGACCACTGCTTGTCAAGGAGTTTGCTCTTTGTTTGAGAGTGATAAGTTAATCAGTCTTACAGTCTCATAGAAAAGTGTGTCATTGTGATCAACATGCAGTTATTGCTAGCCTGCAATCGGCCTGCGGAGGAAATGTGAAGTACCTCTTGCATCAGAACTCTGAATGCTGATTTGCACCTCCAGTGGTTTGTTATGGGCTGATCTTTGGTGCTGTTGGTAGACATGTTAATAAACTGAAGATTGGTATCAGTGGGAATCCACTATACAAAGTACTCCACAATTTCATAACAAGTAGGTTATTTCCGGGATATAGCATCAGGCCAGCAGGTAGGGCTGCTACTGGCCTTTTGGAAACCAGATCTATTACATGAAAGTGAGCTGCTATAACATCTGTATAATGCAAGAACCTTCAATTTGTCTGAGAGCAAATATCCCTGTAGCCTAGGGTCCTTCCCTTTAGAGTGGCTAAAAGGTGGTGTGTGGAAAAAAGCCTATGAAAAGGGCCATTCTAAACTGCTACTTTGATGCTTTCAGCTATCAAACAACTGATGCAGCTCAGGGATTCCTGCACTGGGGCAATTTAGTAACTTTGAGTCTTCTAGGAATACTAACAGAAAGAATTAGGGTCTGTTCAAGCATCCTGATTTCAGCATCTCAATGAAAATATCAGTTGATGTTTTAAATTCTAGAAAAATAAACCAGGAAGATATTAATGATTTCTTTTTGACTTTCTATGGTAGCACCTCAGGCTTTAGCAGTGTGGGGCTAGATAAAAATCATTCTGTCAAGGGAACATATAAAGATCGAACATGCAAATAAAAGGGAATGAAGTGGCAATTGACTGTTTTGTTGTTTGTATCTTTGCTTTTGCTTTTATTTTTGTACCAGGAAACAAGGAATAGCTAATTAAGAAGGAAAAAAAACTTTGAGGAAGAAACACAAACAAAAAGGGTTATGTCATACCTGACGATTTTCTTGGAGGTGGTTAAGTTGAGGGAGTATATTTCACATTACAGAAAATTAAGTTGTAGATCCAATCTAGTACAGGATTAGTTTTAACAAAGCCTGTTATCTTTAATGGGACTGTTTGTGCTTACAGAACCAAGTTAACAAAAATCTTTGCTGATTTGAGTGCTTTTGATAGGCATTTGAAGACGCAACAGATGTGAAATCTGCAGACTTATTAACACAAAGTTTACTAATGTTACTATGGATAGATATGAATTAGCGAGGCAATCATAAATATTGTAAGAGAATATTCCTAGGGTAGATTAAATATAATAGATTCCAGTTCTCTAGGAGAATTTTAGTAGACTGCCATGAGAATCCATTGTTAGTAGCTTATGTTGCTTACAATGATATGTAGCAGTCAAAATTGATTTTGACTCAGAACAGATTCGAGCTAACTGTAATGTAATTTCCTAAATTATGTTTTCATGAAGCATACCATAGATTAAAGATTAACAGTATTTATTGGTTTGTTTGTTTGTTTTCTTCTCTAAATTATGGTGAAATTTTTATGAAGTTGTTGGTTTATCCTTGGTTTTCTCTCCAAATAAAAGAGAAAAGGAAAACAGAAATATTTTCACCCTTTTCAGTTGTGTCTCTTACAGGTAAGGTGCAAATAATTGTTAAAAAAATAAAATTCACTCATAAGATGTTACACTTTTCTCCTTCAGAGTAATTGTACAAAAAGGCAGCACAGTTTTTCTCTCAAGATATTTCTGTGATACTACTATTTTCTTTCCAAGTCGTTTGGTTTTTGTTTTTTATTCCAACATAAATTGAATTTTATGGAAGCAAAATATGTTTGCTAAATGTAATATCCTCCCAATACACATAAATAAAATCCTGAGTTAGGAAGTTTGAGGGTAACTTAATGAGTTGCTTAAAGAAAGGGTTTGTTTGGCACAGAACTACCTTTCCATACCAGTTACATATTGGCAGATGGAGCTGGATGCTTGACCACTACTAGGTCCATGTTAGGACATAGTGGAGTTTCTAAGGTTTTAGTTTTACCCTTATGAGTTGCTTTTTCAAAAGCTGCCAGAGCAGTATTGACAAACAACACAGAGGCACTGGGGGTTTAGAAAGTCCGTAAGTCGCATTGCTTCTTTTCTATTGCTGATATTACTTTGAATTGAAAATATTAATTGAAATGTCTGTTCCTGAGAAAAATAGAGCCTTGTTTTTCTGATCTTTCATTTGTAAGGTCTGCAAAGAGTAATTTTCATTGCATCATCCCTTTAATCACTACCTTTAATTACATAGAATCTTCTGTTGAAAATACATTTATTTATGAAGATACTGTAGCTATTGTGAAAAGAAATTTGATTTTGCATGTTTTTTATTTTCAGCCAGAAATTCATAGGGATTGCAGTTAGTGTTATCATGGGAAGCTGCATAGCTCTGCCTTTGATATCAGTGTTATACAAATGACTTCTCCCCTTGCAAAACTGTGTAGTGCAACAATTCAAAACAGGAAGAAAAAAGCTGTGATTCCTTCTTTCCTGGAGGCTTTCCATCAGTTACATTCACCAGCAAAAGGTTGGCATGTACCTCAAGGACTAATGATAATGAAAAATGTTGTATTAAAGAAGAGAAATCTTTTATAACTTGCATACTAACACACTGAACTCATTACAGCTTGTCTTACTACAGCAGGCTCTTTTATGTCTGCTGTAATGCACTTCATTTTCAAGAGAGTATGACGTGTGCTGATTCTGTAAGCACTTTTTCTCTTCCTTATTTTCCAAAGCTACCTTTGGTTGTCATAAACTACTCACGGGATACAAATTGGGCACTAGGGTGTTCTGCAGTTTCTGACTAATGCCAACATCTGAAAAATTATATTTAAAATGTGTCTGGGGCAAGTAATAGTTTTGTGTTTTCCTAGAGCAGAGGACTTGTGATAGCGTAGCTCAGGAGCTGCCAGCACCCTCAGCATTCTTATTAAAGGAGGCAGCTGTTTGTGGCAGAGGCTGTCTTGCTTGCTGTGATTGATTTTTTTGGTAACATGCACAGGGAAACTGATCATGATATGACATTCTAGGCATTATTATGTTATGAGTAGTTCATAATGTATGCCTATTTTTTAAGGATTTATGAGTAAATTGTAATAATTCACTGTTGAAATATGCAATTTCTTGGAAGTGAAATGTTGCTACGTGTGGCCTACACCTCTGGAGTACACCTCCGAAATTTCCTGTGGCACCTTAATTTTCCATTCAGTAAGCTGTTCAGTGCTTGTGTAGTTTTCTCCTGAACAAACCCAACAGTATTAATATTCCTAGCTGCATTCATTGGCAGTAATACAACTGAGAACTTTTTGCTCTCAATCTGCCTTCTGTTTCACAAGCAAGTCCCACTGAACTCTTAATAAAATACATAAACATATTTAACTTTAAAGCAGTGTAAAAGGTAGAAGAATAATGGAAAGGTTGGAAGCGAACATATGAATGCCTGCAATGCATCTCTAAAAAAATATTTCTGCAATTGATTTGGAGTGACCTATGTCAAAATCTTGATGAAATTGGAAAATGTCATGCAGACAGACAAAAAAGTAATTGAAGAGTAGTTGCAGGTTTCCAACTGGAGAAGCTGTAACAGCTGTGCTCCAGTAACTATGAAAGCAAATTGCTCTGGTTCACTCATAATAAAAGTATGTTTAAGATATAAATGCATCCCAATTTGATTGTCCTAAAGGATTTGTCTGTTGGACATCCACTTTATATTTTTACTTTTTTGAATTAAGTATGTCCAGCTTCATTCTTTATAGTTTTATAAACTCAGTGTTACATGCCTCTTTCAAAGATAACAAAGCCTTCTCAAAAGAAGCTCAGCTACTTGACATTATGCTTTAATGTAATATGAGATTGACATAGACTGCTGTTTTCAATGGACAAATGATTATGAAAATTATATGAGCTTTCTGAGAGGCAAAAAGAAAATTCAGATTCAAGTTAAATAAAGGCTTAAATTATCCAGCGTCTATCTTTAGAACACCGAAAATGGGGTTTCATGTAGTGGCATCTCAAACTCTGTAAGTAAGGTAAACAGATTTTATTTAATTCATAAAACTGAACAAAAAGAAATCCTACATAAACCAACAGTGCATTTCAAGTCAGTGCTGCAAAAAATACTCATCACCTGCCCCTCTTTTAAGCAGCACATCCGTGAGCTATGACAAATTTTCCAAAACAGTAGAACAAGTCAATGTAAGGTGAATGAACAGTGCAGTGATGATAAATATTATTTCAGTTCTCCATTGAAAAGAAGAAAACCTCCTACAACTCAATAACATCAATAAGGACCTGCTTGCTTTTAAGCCACCCTGGAAGGCAAAATATGTAAATGCTGAGAAGTTATACTTTCATCCTGCGAAGTGGTCCTTTTTGATAAAAAGAAAGGCAAGGGAGAGAGTATGGTGGAAGGATCAGAATGGGAGAAAAGAGGTCAGTTAGGGTGAGGCTGAGAAATACTTCAGAGCAGAGTTTGGGAAGAAGTGGAAGTAAACCTCTAATACTCCACAGTTAAACACTGATGTTAGTGGTGGTATCACAGGTCTGCAAGTACAGGCTACCGCACATCTCAAAAATATCATTGTGTTATTTGTGACAGTATTTTCTTGTTACTCAAGCCTTGCCTCTTTTGTAGGCCATACAATAGATGGTTAAGCTCTAGTGCATCCATTGTGAATATGAAAACTGGCTCTTTTCTTTGCTGTAGACCAAGATCAAACTGCTAGGTGGGGGTAAACAAAAGCTTGGCATCAAGAAGAGGTAGGACGAATAGAACAGCAGCAGAGATGACTGAATTTACACAATGCAATTTTCTCAGTATCAGAAGGGGATTATGGTTGCCTTCTCCACTCTGGCAGCACATTGTTTGAACTGGCTTGCAAGAAGATTGCTGTCCTTTGCATGCTTGCATTTAAGGTAAGCTAAAACTTATGTTTGTTTGCCTAAAATGCTCTGATGCATACTCTGGCAGCTGAGAAGCTGAACAATTAGCAAAAAAGACATAGTTGTGCATGCCTGGGAGGGAAAACTGCAAGTGGTAAATTTTCAGCCTCCCCAAACCATATATTGCCTTTGTGAAGGCAGGTTAAATTACACATAGTTACTGATGCTCAGCTGACCTTTGGGTAACCCAAAGCTACTGTAGTAGTCAGCATATATAACCTTATCTTTCAGTTTAAAAATGACAGATTGAGCCATGACAAAAGTTTGGATCCTGCCTTTCTCAGCTATCTCCCTGTTAATTACATAACTTTTATGCTTCAGTGAAAATGAATGCACTGAGCACATTTTTAAATTTTGAAGTTTCCATTAAAATTTGAGTTCAAACAGCCCACCAAGATAGGGATTTAATCCTTCAAAATCTGATGACATTTGCAGGTCTAGGCCCTTGACTAACTTATTTTTAATTTATGGAAATATAATGGAAAGCTTGTTTGAATTCAAGGGCCACATGCCAGTGACACATCGGAAATATTTATGATTTTTCTTTTAATTAAGAAATAGAAAAATCGGAATCTGAATTTAAATGAAAATGTTAAATAAACATACCGAACCAATTTTAAGTTATTTCTTAATGGGAAATTACAGCATGAAATTATATCTTCATGTAAATGTAAATTTCAGCTCTATGTTAATGAAAAATAATGTTTTAATTGCATAAAAGCTTTTTTCAGCTTAGTATGAATCCAGTGAGAATATTTTGAACAAATATACATCTCTGGTGAAATACCTTTTCATTCTAAAAAGCCGTAGTAGAACCACTCTGAAATACTCTAGATGATGTTTTACTGATTTGTTTGCTCTTACAAGCAAATGTTTGCTGTGGCTGCCCTGGCAGTGTTCAGGGCCAGGTCAGAAGCGACTTGAAGCAACCTGGTCTACTGGAAAGTGTCCCTGCCTGTGGCACAGGGGGTTGGAACTGGATGAGCTTTAAGACCCCTTCAAATCCAATCCAGTCTGGGATTTTATGGTTTTAAAAAAGCTTTAGAGGTTAGGAGTGATATACCACCTTAACAGGCATCAGTTGTTTTAATGGTGAGGAGATGTGTTAGATAAATACAGAAACAGAAAAATGAGCTGTACTGTTAATCTTGCAGCCTCTGTGTTGATAGACAAGTGGCCTTCCATTGCTAGGAACACAACTAAGTACTCAGGGTGCGGGCATCAAACCATACTGCAGGTTTAACCACATACTGCATTTCTGAGTATATGGTTGTATTTTCTCTATGAAGCAAGCAATTTTTGTTGTTGGATAAATTTCTTTATTAGGAAAAAGTATGTGTTAAGATGACATCAGTGCTGGCAGAGACCGGTAACAGAGTTGGAGTAACCAAAGTGAAATAAGCCATACTTGTTGAAGACATGAAAATACTTAAATTCCGGAAAGTTGATTAATGGTTGAATTACTTCAAGTCTGTGTACAATAAATTTTGCACTGTGTTGTACATTTTTAAGGAGACAATAGTAGTTTGGAGTTGGGGCCCATGCTTTGCAGTGGTTGGATCAGTTTGGGGGGTGGGTTTTATCTTCTTAAACCAGTATGTGTATATTTGCTCTTAAACCAATGGAAATCCTAATAAGAATGCTATTATGATCACAAACAAAAGAAGCTTTATAGTGGTATTGCTCAGTCATGGGTTGTGTGAAGGAGACTTAGGATTGCAGTCTTCCTATATAGTGTCACCTAGTGTGGTAGTTACATTCTTCTCAGGTATCAGTTAATAACAGTTTGCAGGGCTGTTTATATTCATAGTGGGACTGTGTCTCCCCTTTGCATTCTTCTCTTTCCCATTGGAAAGTAATTATGATAATATGTGTGTGTATCAGTGTAATTATCCCTAATTTAAAGAGTCATAATACTTGAATTGTTTAAGGAAGGCTTCAAGAGATGCACTGAAAGAAAGAAAACGTGATAAATTTGAGGGCAGTTTTGTTTCTCAGGCCATTTCCTGCCTCAGAAGTGCTGATTCAGATCAGTGGAACCACTCAGTGTGTAAAATAAAGCATGCATGTAAGAGTGTGGTCAGACGCTAATTTCAGCAGCAGATAAACCAAATACATTTGACTTTGTACTGAAGGAGACCAAGAGCACCTGCATTGTCATTTATGATTTATCAGGTGGATCCTGATGATCAGCTGAAATGCAACTGGTTTTGCTGACTGTGCCTGAGGTTCAGATACAGTTAGACTAGTTGTTATTTAGTTCCTAACTTTTCATTTCACTGGGATGGAAACCTAGGTGAGAACTAGCAAGTTAAATATCTTACTGAATTTAAGTTCTCCTTCATCTTCTCAGAATCAGAGTGATACAGGAAGGACTAGTCATTTCATTTTTGTCACTCAGGAGCTGCAGTCTGATTTAAACATATGCCTAAGTGAATTAAGAGTCTAAGTACCAGTGTTAATTGGGTTGCCAGTTATACTTACCTTTTTTTACTGTTTGGTTTATCTTAAATTTCTTCTGCTATGTTGCATAGGTTTACAAGTAAAGGATAATGACTGTACCATTTGTTCTGTAGATAATATGAGAAATGGGGATATGTTGGCATAACTGCTTTTGAAAACAAAAAACCCCAACATCAGCAACAGCAACATTTGCTTTCTAGTTCACATACATGTAGTGAAAGAAGAGTATTCTGATTGCACGCTGTAGCTGATATGGGCTGTCTAATAATAAACATCAGCAGACAGATTAAATCACAATTTTGGTGTCGCATTAAGAAACATGCATACTTTTTGACACTGTTGCACTTCAACATACTGTTCTTGTCAGCCTCATTCTGCCACTGAAAGTACAGATGACTGAAAGGGCACATTCTACTGTCTATCATGTAAACACATGTGCATAAAGCAGTAAACTCCCTTTAAATATTCCTGTTGTGCTCTGTTAGAGCATAGTTTTAGACTTAGTGGAAGTAAAGAGCTCCTGCCTCACAGCGGCTAGGTATCACTACTCAGTTTATGTGTAGTAAGTACCCTGCTTCTGAGAAATGTAGTAGATCCAGAGCTAGTCCCATTGGAGGGGCTCAGCACATACATTTAATTTCTTCTGAATCCCCATGGGCAGCATGACAATATATAAGCATCACAAAACACACATAGTTGTGAATTTGAAAACCAAAATTGATGGTTCTGGCTTTGCCTCATGTACTGGTTGTTTTGGGGCAAGTTCCATCACCAAAGGGTCTGAGTTTCTTTAAAGGTCCATTAGCAGTGCGATCTGTGGTTGCCATATGTACTGTGATGTTTTTCTGTCTTACCCTCATTTCCTGAGAAGTGCAAGTTTAGTATTTTGAATGGTTTTCATTACTGTCTTACCTCCCACTCTCCCAATAGAAACGCTGTTAAAGTGTGTTCAAGGCTAATGAAAAAGGTTCCTTGTACTTATGGACAGTGCAGTTTATGATGGTCCTCATTTCTTAGGAGAAATTATTTCATGGTCTTGAGCCACCTCCCTAGTGAAGTGTCATACAGGTGAGGTTTATCTTTATGGTGGCAAGTCCTACTGCAGTGGAGGAGAAAGTTTATGACTGCAATCTTTATCTTGGAACTTCAGGTCATCCATTAGCTATGCTGGGCTTATTCTGTGGTGCACTTTAAACATAAAGAGTACAGTTTGAGACCAGGTCATTTAGTCTATTTGATCACATTTTTCCAATGTAGAAAATAAGAGGAACAATTTTTACTCAGACTTTTCAGTTTGATTTGGCATCCTTAGACAGAAATCAGTATATAAGAGCAGCAGTATTGTATATTAACTTTTATTTGGCAGGGATTAAAAGCAGTAACTTGCACAGTGTGTAACCTAATGTTTGTAATATACCTGGAATGTATGTATGGTCCAACATGTGCATACAAATGGAGTGCATCATATATCTGCTGTAACTCACACATATAAAGTTGTTATTATTATAGAAGGCATATTAAAATTACTGCCTTTTCTAGCAAACACCAGTTTCATTTCTGCCTTGTCAAAACTGCAGATGAGAGAAATATTTTACAGGTTTTCCATAGCTGGATTGGCTGTTGCAGAAGTATATAGGGAACTTTTGTTCCAGAAGAAGTATTCAGGATGAACCAATAAATCCTGGTGTCATCTATGCTGCTTTCTGCTTTCTCCATTTCCTTCTCACTCTGTCATTGCAGGGTTGTTAGACTTTTACATTCCAGCCAACTAATTTAGCATGGGCAGATTTTTTTTTTGTCTGTGGAAGACTGGAAGTCAAGTTTGGGAGCTGTTAAGAAGATGACATCCTTGTCCTCATGCTGTGATTTTTATTGTCTCTTAATATACTAATTTCTTTGACAATATAAATATTGCTAATTGGATAAACACAAAAATGTATTCCAGTGGAATTATTGAAAGCTCTTCTGATAAATTAATTAAAAAATGACACGTTACCATGCTGCAGAGGAAGGAAGGAATCAGTCCCTCCTTTTCTCACTGCCCGTGAGACTGAGATTGTGATTATGTGATGAAGTCAGTCCATTTGCAGATTCCTGCTCCACATCATGTAAACTGAAGTTATGGGGTACTAAAGGTTGACCCAGTATAAACCATTGGATCAACAGTACAAAAACCCCAAACATCCAAAACCAATGATGAAACAATTTGTGCAGAATCAAGTATTGTCCAGAAGCTTTGTTCTAACTTGATGCTGGAAAAGATTTCACCTGTTCTGTCACAGTTGGGATGGAGCTGGCATAAAACGTAATGCCAGAGTGAATTCTTTGTCATGTACAGTGGTTAATTTGACAGGAATGCAGCTGTACCCACATGTCTGAGCTAGATTGAATGTGCACTTTTAGGTTGTCAGTGGTGCATAGAATGGATATTAGTGAGTGTGGGGCCATAGCTTGGAACGGGTTCTCCTTTGGTAAGACCACAAATACGGCCTAGCTGCAGGTAAAACTTC